ATTGACTTAAGTATCTTTGAAGCCGAACTTCATGTTTTAGACTTTTTAGTTTATTGCGTATATACAGGGTGTTTCCTAACTAAGGTACGAAACTTCAGGTCAATTCCTTCGTTTTTTGGAAAAAAAAAATCCTATGAACATATGTCCGGAGTTGCTTCATTTTTGAGATAGAGGGTCTTAAAGTTAAAAAAAATAGATATTTTGGAAATATCATAAACATTGTTAAACCGATTTGGTTCAAATTTAACACAGTTATTTGAAGTAATAAGGCGCGTATTTAGCCCTAACTAGATTGAAATTATTGGATGTAGTGGCGTCTTAGTGAGCAAAAGAGCCAACATTATTGAGAAAAAAAGTACACCACTGACCTTTTTGTAGTTTTTATATTTTTTTCAGATCAACGAACTAAAATACAACTTTTAAGGGTTCTATGTTTTCTTTATGTCTAGCTTTGTTTTCGAGAAAAAAATAAAAACCACTTTAACTCATTCTAAACACTATCCATGGACAACATAAAATAAATGCCGAAAATAAAAAAATAAACAATTTCGATCTCAAAGTAAATGAGCAAAAGAACCACTTTTTACTTTCATATCTGTATACAGATATAAGGAAAGTATAGGAATCGTGTGATTTTTTTCGACCTCGACTTTTCAACGGATTTTTGAGGTCCCCTGAATCCGTTTTGACTATTTTCGCGATGATGTGTGTGTGTGTGTGTGTGTGTGTGTGTGTGTGTGTGTGTGTGTGTGGGTGCGTGCGTGCGTGCGTGCGTGTGTGTGTGTGTGTGTGTGTGTGTGTGTGTGTGTGTGTGTGTGTGTGTGTGTGTGTGTGTGTGTGTGTGTGTGTGTGTGTGTGTGTGTGTGTGTGTGTGTGTGTGTGTGTGTGTGTGTGTGTGTGTGTGTGTGTGTGTGTGTGTGTGTGTGTGTGTGTGTGTGTGTGTGTGTGTGTGTGTGTGTGTGTGTGTGTGTGTGTGTGTGTGTGTGTGTGTGTGTGTGTGTGTGTGTGTGTGTGTGTGTGTGTGTGTGTGTGTGTGTGTGTGTGTGTGTGTGTGTGTGTGTGTGTGTGTGTGTGTGTGTGTGTGTGTGTGTGTGTGTGTGTGTGTGTGTGTGTGTGTGTGTGTGTGTGTGTGTGTGTGTGTGTGTGTGTGTGTGTGTGTATCCACCATAACTCATGAACCGATACACAGATAAACACCAAATTTTAAACTTAAGCTCTATTCCAGTGTCAAATGAACTGATTAGATTTTGGGCAGAGTCAGAACATATGGGGGGTACTTTATAGGTGGTCATTTTTATATTTTATGGAATATATCTGTTATTTATGTTTGGAGAGGAAAATTGTTTAAATAAAAGTTACTTCTTATATTATTGCCTATAATTTTTGCCTTATGTCAAAATTTCCTGAAATGGTCCGTATTTGAGAAATTTGACAAAATGTGCAAAATTCTGATTTTTATGAAAATTGTTAAACTAAAAGTTGTTTGCGATATCGATCTCTATAATTTTTGTTTATACATGATTTTTCTAAAATGGACCGTAATGAAAAAATTGTAGGAAAAGTGCTAAATTTAAATTTTTCAGTATTTTAGTTTTCAATAAATATCTGTAGAAAAATGTTTCAATGTTTCAATGCAATAGGTTGTACAAAATAACCGGAAAAGGCCTATAATAACAAGATAGGAAAGTCATGTGTTGGACACATCAGATTTTTGGTAAAATACACGACTGCAATCGATTTGTTATTGATTGTCTGACACGTTCTTAAATACCTGGAGTATTTCTTATGATATTGCAATTGGCAATTATCCGATTCCTCAAGTCATTCACATTTTAGAGTTTTAGGAGTTTTGTAAACTAGCCTTCAGATGAACCTATAAATAAAAATCTAGAGGAATCATATAAGACTGCGACCTGGCCAATTTTGAGGTCCTGCATGTCAAATCCAAC